AGATGCAAATCTATTAATACATTTAAAATGTGAATGAATGTGAAATGGCAATGTGAATCAACAAAACTGCAATTACAGCCTTACTTTTTTAGTTCTGTGTAAATGGGCAACACTTCAGGGTGACACACAAAAGCAAACGCCATAATGGGAATGGTAAAAGCAGTCTGTGATTTAAAAAACAAACATGAAATTAACAGATTAATTCATTGGGTTTGAAGTAAAGCCAAAAGGACACCTGATAATAAGATTGGCAGTAGATATCTCTCACCTCTGGGTTGACAGTTATAAATTTAGCTTCACAAGTGTCAGCGGTGGAGTTGTATATGCTTTCATTGAGAAAAGTGCCATTTTTGCTGGGTTCTACAGGACACCCTGTGACAAACTTCTTGTAGATGACCTAATAAGACACAATGGAGAGATGCATTCATTTGTCACAATGACATGATTAATGTAGTGTCCCAATCTATGGTTTTCCCATGGAATTGGGCTACTTTTAAAATGCTGCAGTGTTTTCTTTCTTCTTCTTTTTTCAGCGGGTGAAATGTTTGATATTGCATAATTTGTACTGCCTGAAGTGCTTGATTTGAAATGGGCTATTTGAGTTTTGTGAGGGAGGGTCTGTATAGTGATTACTACTATATAGTAATTTTGACATTGTGTAAAATGCACAACAATGAATGTAAAAATGTATTTTAGGTATGGGAGTGGCAAATTTTGAGTTTTGATATTTGGTATAGGGTCACTGGGCTAGTTTTGTTTCTGTTGGTGTCTTTATATGTAAGTAGATGGGAGAGTTGACTTACAGATATGAGAAAGAAGACCATGCAGCTGAGGGAGAGGCCACTGGTGTAGCCTAGATACCCTAAAATAAAAGCATAAATACATGATAAATCCATGTACATATTCATACCAATTTTTCAGGCTATGGGTTCGATTGGGTTCCAAGGTGTGTACTGATAAAATGTTTTATCTTTAATGCACTATAATGGTGCGGTCACATTAACAAAATTTAGTCACTTTTGAACCAAGCAGCCTTCTGTTGGTCAGTGTGGCTATTTCACGTGACCACCTTAAAATTAGCAAAATTATGTGCCTGGGGATCTTTTCGCCCTTACGCGAAATTTCGCCAAACAATGTGACTGGCTTAAATCACTTTGAATTTAAAACCGTCTGGACTCATTTAAGACACTCAACATAGATCTTTAGTGCAGGTGTGTAAATGTTTGATTGAGATTATGGTTATTATGAAATAAAATAGAATGACAGAGGGAGAAAACTGAAAATGAATGAATGAAGGGAAAAGTGGCAGGAACGTACCGAGTCGTTTCATAAATGCCAGGGGAAGAATGATTCCGACACTAACGATAATGATGAGATACTTCCCATTAACGAACCATGCACTGACAAAGAGAAAAAGGTGTTTTACACAAAATGTCATGCTAATAGGAGTGATCATATGACTATAAAAAGCAGTCAGAGTGTTTTAACCATGTACACAGAGAATTAAAAATGTAAAAAAGAAATGAAAAGGAAATACAGTGGGGTTCAAAAGCCACAAATGTGCTTATTTGATTAGTGACTTAGAAATAGTACACAATAAATAGCCCAAAACATTTTTTGGTTTGGCTTTTTCAGAACCCTTGTTTTTACATGTTTTGTTTTAGATTTTTATCATGGTCTCATATTTGGACCCCACTGTATCTGGCACATCAGCATCAGTACTATGTTCTGGTACTCACGTATAGTCATCTGGCAGTTCCATAAGACCCTGAATAACATGAGGTAACTCTATCTTCACAATGAACAGGTACGTGGACATTGCTGTTGGATCAAAGATAGAACACAATTAGTGTTGTTGTGATCAGCACTCATATTGCTTTATGTGGTTATCACTGATTTTGATTTATCAGCCGTGATGTCTTATGACTTCATGAGTACACTCTAAAAAATGCTGGGTTGTTTCAACCCAAATTTGGGTCAAATATGGACAAACCCAAACGTTGGGTTAAAAATGTAATTAAAAAAATTACAGTTGAAAGTGAAAGTTGAAGTTGGGTTAAAATGTTAAATTACATTTTTAACCCAACATTTGGGTTTGTCCACATTTGACCCAAATTTGGGTTTAAACAACCCAGCATTGTTTAGAGTGTATAACTACTGACAGCAATAATGCATTTAATTTTACCTCCAATGTTGTGCAATGTTATAACGCATCCTGCTAAGATTTTCCCAGGTGTACCAAATGCACGGTTCCCGAGCTGTTCATATGCACGGATCCCTAAACACACAAACAAACGTAATGGAAAGGTGAGATGCTTTTTTCATGCTATCAGGATTGCCTTTGAAGACATTAGAGAGAAGATGTTTCTCACCAACCACTTCAGCACTCTTCAGAAGCAGGTGGATGGAGTAGGCAGAGAGAAGAGCGATGCTTATCAACAGGATTCTGAAAACAAGTAACTCAAATGATGAAACTATAAACAACAACAGAAAAAAGTAACTTCTTACTGTATACTTAAATGTAGTCCACCCAAAAATTAAATGTCATCATTTACTGACACTCATGTCATTTCAAATCTACGACTTTCTGAGCAGAAAAGAAGAATGTCACTGGGGTCCAAAACAACATTGAACCCCAATGATTTTCATTGTATAGACAAAAAAAAACTAAACATTTTTTGTCCCACAGAAGAAAAGTCAGCTTTGGAGCAACATGAGGGTGATTTTTGGGACAACTATCCCTTTAATCTCCTGCATAGATGGGTATTCAGAGAAGTCTTATCCCCAAAATATTATTTTATTATATGATCAAATCTTGCCCTTTTGATTTTACAGATTATCAGACTCACCAATCTGTCCTTTGACTTTCAGAGGTGCTAATTTAATCACGATTAGGTGCCGCAAAGTACAGTTTCATCAGAGATATTATTACCGCCGCAAGTCGTCGAGTCATCTAACCTCTAATCTCATTAATGACGCATTAGACAAGCTCAGGCGTGTTTTTCTTCGTAGTAGCCTACAACCCACAAAAACACTGTCACACACATCTCTGCGATAAAGGTATGCAACATAAACAAAGACGCTTTCTAGTTAACACTTCCCCCTAGTGTCTTTTAGACATAGGCCTATCTGTAATTGCATATTGCTGAATGTTATGATTGGCAGGAGTGTTTTCCTTTTAGCAGAGAAGCTGTTGAGATTAGCAAACTATTTTTTGTACAACAAGCTGCTTTAAAAGCCTATTTGAGATGGACAGACAGACAGACAGACAGTCAGGCTTTGATTCAATTACAGCAGGCTATTTATAACCCTTCTAAATCTGATCTGTGAGGGTAGTACATGTGCGTGTCACATCATAGACAAGGTGACGTTAAAGCTCCCTACACAATAAAACCCGATCGTTCACAAGGATTAGCAATTGTCCTATCAATAAATATTATTTTATTTTTGCTGTTTTTGTAGTTTTCATAGCCTGTTTGCTTTCAGAACTGAGTGTATGCCTACTTGATTTATTCAAGCAATGAAAATGAAAGAATGAAGTAAATATATTTAGCAGAGACTCTTCCCTTTTGTTACACGATACCTCAGGGAAGAAAAAAACATGCAAATATTTGACTTTGTATTGACTGAGTATTTGTAAGGCTGGATGTGGCTGGCACATGTGTACGTGACAGAGGCACACTGGAGTATGGAAGCATATGCCTACAGTTGAATGTAGATGGACACAAAGAAGCCTTAATGCTCAGCTGAACTCAGACACGCATATGCAACACACACATTCCAGCATACTAACAGAAGTCCTGTATAAGAAGGTGTGCTCTACGGTGCTTAAAATAAAATGCAGCCAAATGCCAAAGAGAGGCGTTATTCCACCTCTCTAGACTTGAAATGTTCTGTTTATATTTGTAACTTTGGACCAGATGTATCAGAAAGACTAGAAAGGCTCTTCAACTCAAATGGGATTTACTCACAGTACATTTGACATAAAAGAAACAGTAGAGCTTCTTTTTGCCATATCACACCTTCAATAACCTTTATTTTGATTATACATCAAATCAACCCAAATGCATGCATAATTGCAAGTGTAGTTTGACTTACACAAAAAGGATGATTCCAGTGTTGGCCATGGCATAAGCCAGTCCCAGAATTCCACTGCCCATAATGGCGTTACTGAGGTTGAAAATAGACATCCCGAAAGAAGTCTTTCCCTCAAACTGGAATAAAAGATGAATGATGTATTAGTCATGAACCTATTTAACTGAATAGGGTTCTTTAGCCTGAAGGGTAGTTTCACTTTTTATGTGTAACTCCACAAACAAATTTAAGGATGGAGAAGTTAGAAATTATAGCGTCTGTGTTTGTTTCAATCAATCTTCTAATCAGTTTCACCCCTACTTGTATGTTTCTGTGAAGTAAATGATGACATTTGCGTACTCACATCTGTAAAATTAGTTGTTCCATTGCTTTTATCGTGGAGGAACGTTTCGCTTTCTGTTATGTTTTCGATAACGATATGAAGTTCTAGGTACTGTTTGGATGGACAGTCCTTCAAAGATCCAAACAAATTCCACAGCGCTAAGCATCAGTGATCAAACTGAACATGCTCAACAGTTTATCCGTTCTACTACCTTTACCACTTTAAGTTCTTACTATTTTAACATTTAAGCTGCTCATACTAAAGGACCTAAAACATGACTTTACTACATTAGATAGTTCAGTCAATGGTTCAAATAGAGACAAAATGGAAGTATTTTTTTTTACAGTGGTTAATACCCAACCAGAAAATTAGCCCAACTAGTTTGTCAGCAACAACTGTGTGAATTCATCATACATGCAAAGACTGTGTGCAACTTTAGCTCTTTTTGCCTGCCTGAATGCAGACAGTTTTGTGGTGGACAGTACTATAAGGAAGTGTTGGTAATACGCAAAATTAACTTTACAGGAAAGAGAAATAAAAACTTCCTCAACACACAAAAAAAAAAAAAAAAAAAATTTGCTATTTGATACTGTGAAAACATGTTAAAATCAACTGTAATAATGACAGTGAGCATAACGCACAAGGTTGGGATTTACAACAGGTAAATACTTACATCTCCAGGGAAAGTGTGAAAAAAAGCCATGACTCTTTGGTACATTAGTTGGTTATAGATTTCCTGTTCCCACACCAGCTTCCCTGCCTGAAGAGAAATAACAAGTCTAAGATCATCTTAGTTTTCTCCCAAGCAAACACAGGTCAAATATGTTCAGAACTACCCATGGGGAAAAGTTTGTTTTATTTTATTTGATATTTTAAACAGTTTGTTGAGATTTTAATTCACACGTGCACATGCAAAATGTGATAATGATTATTATAATGACTAGATTTAATGCATTTCTTTAGGCTGTTAACACGATGTTTGCCGATAAGAGAGAAATGGTCTCAAAACCTTGAGGTCAAAGAGACGGATGAAAAAGGAGCGCTGATGACTGTCCTTGACGAAACACACTACTCCAGATTGCTGAGGTGTCCAGCGGTTCGGCTCGCTCGGAACAGCCATGAGCAACTGCACAACCGCTGAGGACAGAGACTGCAGACAAAACCAGAAAAAAAGGCTGTATTTAGCATCACACAAAAGCGTATTATTCTCACATGCATGATTGTTTGTGAATCACTTTCACCAATTAACGCTGAGCAAACACTTAAAGTTGCAGATAATAGTCGCTTTTTTATTATTCTGTGATAGGAAATGTCTTTAAGCAACTTCCCCTGTCATACCCCACAGTTCAAGCTGCAGTGAGGGCTAATTTCACACCTTTTCTTCCTCTAATCATAAAAGCTTTTACTCTGTGCAGTCAAGCAGCACCAAAAATACCCACAAAATGGCAGTTCCTGCGTTGACGGATCTACAACAGGTCTGTTAGAGGAAGGCTACAGTCTTTTGATAATGATTGCTCAACTTCATCATGGTTGCATAGTTAGTGTGTATGTATATTAGATAAAAGCTTCTGCTACATAAATGGTCGCCAACAACAGAACAACAGGATGTCTTGAATGTGTCATAATGGAATGATCAGAGGAAGTAGAAATAAACAACCACATACAGAAGTGAGAAACACGTTTGGATTCACTGGTTTACCTAAAGCTTTCTGTGATGTACAGTAAAGGCTAGGCTACATGTGGCTGCAATTCTTTTTAAATAATTAACTGAAAAATCCGTAACATTTATTTTTTTTTAAATGGGTATAGTGAATTTACAGTAAAAATGTGAAGAAATATAAATATTTCAAGAAAATACAACCATTTGAAATGCGTCACGCAGGGAGTTCTGAAATTGTAATTGTACTGATATAACTTTAACAGTATGTTGTGTTGTCTGAATAGTGCAAATTTACACTGCACTGTTTTACATTAAACGTGCTGTTTTACATTTTGCTTCTGTTAAATCTACACTTTTTCACTGTATATTGTAAGGTAATTTTTTTTTTAAATGTGAGTCACACCATTAAGTTAAAAGTGAAAAAGTTAAAAGTGTTAAAAGTTCAATTAAGTTACAAAATGTGTGATTTGTTTTTTTTTTCCACATGGTCTAAGTGAAAATGCTTCACTTCTTATTTCAGATAAATGAGGGGGAAAACACATAAAAAAAAGAGTTCAATCAATGACAGCTTCTCAAAAGGAGAGGTAAAAAATATGGTCAATATTTCTTGTCTACAGATTTCACCATATCTTAATGCATACATTTTCACACCATTTCTCAATGCATACATTTTCACACACACACATAAATAAGTCTTTTAAAGCATTTAAATCAAACTTTTGGCCCACCGTTTGCACAGATGTGTCTCAATTTCATGATGAAAAACACTCCATCTTCCCTCTAAAGTGTAAATTTACCTTAGTACTGAAGGCCTCTGAACTTACCACACACCTCCTGCCCAGCAGATCCTCCAGCCTCTCATTCTCCTGTGGACTGAGCAGAGAGCAGCCCGCATTCTCCTGACCTTTCTCCTTCGATGCTCGCCTCATGGCCTCATATGCTCATGGACCAAACCGTTCAAAAGTTACACTCGAAGCGAGAGAAAGAAAGAGACCCCGAGAGAGAACGAGAGATCTCCTCTGCACTACCGGTGACTAGTCTGAACAGCGAGCATTGAGTTTCTCTTCCTAGTTCTTACTCTCAGCAACAGCAGACAAAAGCTTTTCACAGGAAATGGACAACCACACTTTTTTTTCTTTTCTATTTTCATTCTCTCGCCTGCTTGTCAGCTTGACACACTGCTGTATGTTCATGTTGCTTTCAGATCAGAGCAGAAGACCTCTTAGTGCAGTCAGAACAGACATTACAGTGTACAACTACACCAAGATAACCTTCTGTTGGTTGGTTTCCATCCGTGCCTCTAATATCTGTCTGAATGTTACAAATGATGAAGGACAGAAAACAAACTAAACAAATGGGATGAGGAATTACTAACTGTGATTAAAAAAAGAAGAAGAAATGAAATAAAACAAAAAGTGAAATGAAAACCTAACATTATGGAAATGAGATGCAAAAGATTTTTTTGGCTTTACTTTTGACCAAAGTTCCTCACACAACCAAACTGTTCAGCTTTTTGTTTTGCAGTCGTTAAAAATAATTAGTTGAGGCAATATTTGAGAAAAAGAAAGACATTTTGCATTCAGGGGTGTAATTGTTTTTCGTAATTTAGCTAAAATGGATTTGTTTGTTTTAATAAATGCTAAATTTCTCCTTCTGCAAATACACCCTTGTTACAGCAAATACTGATCTCCTGGTTAGATTTTTTTTTCCAACTGGAAACGCTTTAATTAGCACACATTATCATTATTATTATTATTATTATTAACTAGAGATAATACACACACGAACACACACACACACACGTTGGAGCACCTATCATTATGAGGACATTCCATAGGTGTACTGGTTTTTATACTGTACAATCTATCCCCCTACACTAACCCCTTTTAGGTCATTTTAATTACGAGGACTCAGGAAATGTCCTCATAAATACCAGTGTAATTAACATGTCATTACAAAAATTTGTGTCCTCGTAAATCATATAAATAAGCACACACACACACAAAACCTGTCCTAATTGAAAGAAAACAAGTTGACAAAAATATTGAATCCAATATTTGGTGATAATATAGCATAACAAGAGATTTATAAGCAATTTTTTTGTAGGCCGTCTTTTTGACCGGGAACACCACGAATGTGACTTTGTGCCATTTTGTACAAAATAAAAGCATTTCAAAACAAACTTCCTGTTTAAACATCAAAACACACTATTGTCAAGTGCACTTTATATATATACAGTATATATATATATATATATATATATATATATAAAATATAAAATAAAAAAATATATATATAAAAATATACAAAAAAAATAATATATATATATATTGTTGAATATTGACAAATTGATCCACAAATAATGCTTTTTTCAATCAATTTTTTGATCAATGAGGCCTATACGATCAATCAGTTCAACAAAGAAATACAAAATCTAATTGAAAGAAAACAAGCGGACAAAATAATTGAATACAATATTTGGAGATAATAACAACCGATTTACAAGCAAGGTCATTTTTGACCGGGAACACAAAGGTGTTACAGGATTTCACACAGTGTAAGGGTGAAAGGGATAGTTCACCCAAAAATGAAAATGCTGTCATCATTTATTCACCCTCAAGTTGTTCCAAACATGTTTAAATTTCTTTGTTCTACTGAACACAAAGGAAGATATTTTGAAGAAAGTTAGTAACCAGGCCGCTTTGGGGCACCATTGACTTCCATAGTAGGAAAAAAAATACTATGGAAGTCAATGGTGTCCCAGTCAGAACTGTTCAGTTTCCCACATTCTTTTTTTACAGGTTTGGAACAACCTGAGGGTGAGTAAAAAAATCCTGGCCTTCGGGTGATGTTGCCTAAATACAAAAACATATTTCTGTTGAATTGAAGTGTATGATAGTTTTATATAATAAAACCAGTATTTGAAACATTTAACCATCTTTTGACTTTATTATTCAAGATAGCGCAATGTGTTCAACAATAAATACATGTATTTCTGAACATTAACTGTGGAATGCTGAATTGTTTCCATTTCATAAGTCGTCAGGCACTTAAAAAAAACAATCCTGAGGAAATGTGAATTACTAAATGTAATTGAATTTAAATTAAATCGTTTTATTAGCTTACCACAAATTTTTGATTCATTGCGTATTACATGTTTCATTTTATCTCAGCACTCAGGTCCAATTGAGCCTTTTTAAGTCCAAAAAGACTAGACTATGTTGTACACAGATATGCAATAACTGATATAAAGTTTCTCCCATTTCAACATATCACACACAATATGTACATAAAGACTATACAAAACACGCACACATTAACATTAATGATAGTTATGATGTCCAACATGAAACAATTTTAGTTGTGGTCCATGTAAACTTACAGATACTGATTGGGAGTGACAGAGGCATTTTAGTAAGCTTATGGACAATGAATGCTGTTCTACACCCCCATCAATGCCGTGTTATAGTGACCTTTCATATAGAGTGATTTACAGCATTTATTACTGTTCGGTCCATTTCTGGAGTGTAATTTTTGTCACTGTAACAACATGTCACCATATAAACCAGAACGAAATCAAGTATGCTCATTTTCAAGATGTTCAAAAAGTATTTTCAATTATACAACAAACAAAATGACATACAACATGAAAAATGCCAAAACAGTGTTTTGTGTTTCTTGAACACTACAAGATAATTAGTATTCCTTCACCTCTCTAAAACAGAGTAAAGAAATGTTGTCATATGACAGCGGCAAGAACTGCACTAACACTGTTGATGTACTGTAAGACATCTCATACTGTAGATTTCATTTGTTTGATTGGTGTAACAAGACATGTACCAATACATACAATACATTTACTTAAGGATCTTCATCTAACATTCAAGCATTGTCCTTAAAGATAATGTTGAAATTCATCACAAAACTGTACACTTTTCCTATTTAAATAAAATTATACACGGTATTTTTATATATATCATTCATCACAAATAAAGTTAACTGAGATTCACATACAGTGGGTTCCAAAGGTCTGAGACCAAATTGAATATCTGGGATTCAAAATCAAATATGAAAATAGAACGTTTTGGGATTAAAAAAATAAATAAAAGAAAAAAAGATAACATTACGGGTACACTGTGTAACTTTTTTTGTTCATACACCTTCAATCATTCTGTCAAAACTGTTTTTTTGTCTTACCCTGATTCACTATGATAAAGTGAGCCTATAATAAGCGTTTATATTTTAGACCTGACGGGATGGTTCTCGCGGGACATTGAGTAGGCCTACTATACGTCAGTCACCCGTGCGTGTCTTCTCATATCCGTAAATAGAGAAAAGTTGCTCCGGCTCTTTCGACTCGTGGATGGTGTGAGAGAGGCATAGTTGTCGAAGCGAGCGAGAAAGGTTGACATAGAGCTGCTACATCTCGAACCTCCGGGGAATCACCCGTGTTTTTCTCTCGTTTAAAAAAAAAAAACGTAGAATAGAGGAGAGTCTGCTGGCAAAAAGAGAACTCAACAGAGATCTTAATACAATGGGAATCATCATTGTCTTGGAGAGAACTGAGGTAGCTATTTCGTATTTGGAATGTTATAAAAGTGACGCAGAGATGCCGTTTTTATTGCTCAACTGGTGAGTAAGGTATTTTATTGAACAGATAAACCATTATGTAGTCTACCGGAGTTCATTGTAAAGCATTATCTATTGTAAAGGGTCATTTCATTATGGTTGTTGTAGCGCTGTACTGAGATTTATCTTCAAGGAAGTACCGTGTCTATTAATAGGTATAGCTACAGTAACTTCTTCAGCTAGTCAGCTTAAGATCCTTTCCATCTAAACTGCTTGTCTCTTAAGCATAGTAGTGAATGTTTTATGAGCAGCGGGATAGCATATTCATCCACAGTCACGCAGAGCCGAAGCACAACCAAAACAATGTTCTGTCTGTTTTGTTTTTTAACCACTAGGGTCAAAAGTTACATGGTGGACCTTTAAGATAGATTTAGGATCATCCGATTTTGCACAAATGTTTCACTTAAAATGTTATGCTAATAATATAATTTGTAATGAACGGAACAAAGCATTTTGACTAATGAAAGACTTTTGGATCCCAAAATATGCACTGATCAAAAAAAAAAAACACAAACTGTCTCTGTCACTGTAAAATTGCTCTGTTTAGTAGGAGGTAGACTTCAAACTGCATGTTTACACTTTTGGCAATAAAGATGAGTGAATTCTCATCATAGTTTCACAGTTTTTCCTCATGTAATTTAGGAAGTTCCATTTGCCAGTCATAACAGCAATATGTTATTAGAGCATCATGGCTATAACATGTCAAGAATATCTGTTACCAAGCAGGGTTTCTTTTTTTTTGAATTCTTCTTGGATTTTGGTAACTGGCCTCCTTGAAAACCTTTTAATTTTGGACTTATTGAAATTAAGGAGTTATCTGATTTGATATTTATCAAGCTAAATGAAACTGAACCTGGGTCACTGGTTGCAGGTTCAGGCCTGTGTGTTCTGTATTTGGTCTTTAGGATTCAGTTGTGTCAGTGTCCACCCATCGACTTCTTTCCAGTCACCCACTCTACTATGATGAACGTAATACTCATAATCATGAAGATGAAACCCAGTGTCACAAACACCATCGCCTGGAAAACATAAATGGAAGTGAGAAAAAAAGAAGCCATAGATCTGTGAGAGTGAAGTAACTTTCTGTCTGATTTTCACCTGGATCTTTGGCCGAGATTTCAACGGCTCCTGTTCTTTGGGGACGATGCAAATGTAGAATATTCCTGGCAATATGAAAATGAGGCTGGGAGCAGATGTGGCACCTAAAAGAAAAATGAATCAGTTGAATTCTGCATATTAATGTGACCATTAAAATCCTCTACGCTGCAAATCTGACTCACCAATGAAGCCGAAGATGTCACGAATGTTGGGCACGAAGATAACGAGAAGATTGACGGCAAAGAGGAGGCACACGGCGATGGAGATGTGACGCACCCAGCTGAAGGGCTTTTCAGGGAACAGAAGCTGCAAGACGGCACGGCGGATCTAGACAAAGACAATGCAGCACTGTCAACAATCAACCAGCAAGATGATGAGAGGAATTACATGCAAGCAATTACTAATGAGCCAGGAAAATTAATATACCGGGAAAAGAACCACAGGAACGGTCAGTGTCACTGCCATCAGCACAGCCAGCCGAACACACAGCATCAGGGTGTCTGTTTTACTGTACATCTCCAGAAGCTCTGAGTTCACTTTTGCTAAACATATGTAGATACATACCGATTGTTAAAACATTTTTAAATATCACAAATGTTGGTACTTTGATGATATATGGTATTTCGTAAATTTGTGAAGTTCTTATTACCATAGAAGGTGAGGTAGCCAAAGATGGCAGTCAACAGGTACATGACAAACATGGCCAAAATAGAGATATTAGAAATATTTTGCATGCGTTTCTTGCTTGGACTGAAATAACAAGGAGACAAAGATGCAAATCTATTAATACATTTAAAATGTGAATGAATGTGAAATGGCAATGTGAATCAACAAAACTGCAATTACAGCCTTACTTTTTTAGTTCTGTGTAAATGGGCAACACTTCAGGGTGACACACAAAAGCAAACGCCATAATGGGAATGGTAAAAGCAGTCTGTGATTTAAAAAACAAACATGAAATTAACAGATTAATTCATTGGGTTTGAAGTAAAGCCAAAAGGACACCTGATAATAAGATTGGCAGTAGATATCTCTCACCTCTGGGTTGACAGTTATAAATTTAGCTTCACAAGTGTCAGCGGTGGAGTTGTATATGCTTTCATTGAGAAAAGTGCCATTTTTGCTGGGTTCTACAGGACACCCTGTGACAAACTTCTTGTAGATGACCTAATAAGACACAATGGAGAGATGCATTCATTTGTCACAATGACATGATTAATGTAGTGTCCCAATCTATGGTTTTCCCATGGAATTGGGCTACTTTTAAAATGCTGCAGTGTTTTCTTTCTTCTTCTTTTTTCAGCGGGTGAAATGTTTGATATTGCATAATTTGTACTGCCTGAAGTGCTTGATTTGAAATGGGCTATTTGAGTTTTGTGAGGGAGGGTCTGTATAGTGATTACTACTATATAGTAATTTTGACATTGTGTAAAATGCACAACAATGAATGTAAAAATGTATTTTAGGTATGGGAGTGGCAAATTTTGAGTTTTGATATTTGGTATAGGGTCACTGGGCTAGTTTTGTTTCTGTTGGTGTCTTTATATGTAAGTAGATGGGAGAGTTGACTTACAGATATGAGAAAGAAGACCATGCAGCTGAGGGAGAGGCCACTGGTGTAGCCTAGATACCCTAAAATAAAAGCATAAATACATGATAAATCCATGTACATATTCATACCAATTTTTCAGGCTATGGGTTCGATTGGGTTCCAAGGTGTGTACTGATAAAATGTTTTATCTTTAATGCACTATAATGGTGCGGTCACATTAACAAAATTTAGTCACTTTTGAACCAAGCAGCCTTCTGTTGGTCAGTGTGGCTATTTCACGTGACCACCTTAAAATTAGCAAAATTATGTGCCTGGGGATCTTTTCGCCCTTACGCGAAATTTCGCCAAACAATGTGACTGGCTTAAATCACTTTGAATTTAAAACCGTCTGGACTCATTTAAGACACTCAACATAGATCTTTAGTGCAGGTGTGTAAATGTTTGATTGAGATTATGGTTATTATGAAATAAAATAGAATGACAGAGGGAGAAAACTGAAAATGAATGAATGAAGGGAAAAGTGGCAGGAACGTACCGAGTCGTTTCATAAATGCCAGGGGAAGAATGATTCCGACACTAACGATAATGATGAGATACTTCCCATTAACGAACCATGCACTGACAAAGAGAAAAAGGTGTTTTACACAAAATGTCATGCTAATAGGAGTGATCATATGACTATAAAAAGCAGTCAGAGTGTTTTAACCATGTACACAGAGAATTAAAAATGTAAAAAAGAAATGAAAAGGAAATACAGTGGGGTTCAAAAGCCACAAATGTGCTTATTTGATTAGTGACTTAGAAATAGTACACAATAAATAGCCCAAAACATTTTTTGGTTTGGCTTTTTCAGAACCCTTGTTTTTACATGTTTTGTTTTAGATTTTTATCATGGTCTCATATTTGGACCCCACTGTATCTGGCACATCAGCATCAGTACTATGTTCTGGTACTCACGTATAGTCATCTGGCAGTTCCATAAGACCCTGAATAACATGAGGTAACTCTATCTTCACAATGAACAGGTACGTGGACATTGCTGTTGGATCAAAGATAGAACACAATTAGTGTTGTTGTGATCAGCACTCATATTGCTTTATGTGGTTATCACTGATTTTGATTTATCAGCCGTGATGTCTTATGACTTCATGAGTACACTCTAAAAAATGCTGGGTTGTTTCAACCCAAATTTGGGTCAAATATGGACAAACCCAAACGTTGGGTTAAAAATGTAATTAAAAAAATTACAGTTGAAAGTGAAAGTTGAAGTTGGGTTAAAATGTTAAATTACATTTTTAACCCAACATTTGGGTTTGTCCACATTTGACCCAAATTTGGGTTTAAACAACCCAGCATTGTTTAGAGTGTATAACTACTGACAGCAATAATGCATTTAATTTTACCTCCAATGTTGTGCAATGTTATAACGCATCCTGCTAAGATTTTCCCAGGTGTACCAAATGCACGGTTCCCGAGCTGTTCATATGCACGGATCCCTAAACACACAAACAAACGTAATGGAAAGGTGAGATGCTTTTTTCATGCTATCAGGATTGCCTTTGAAGACATTAGAGAGAAGATGTTTCTCACCAACCACTTCAGCACTCTTCAGAAGCAGGTGGATGGAGTAGGCAGAGAGAAGAGCGATGCTTATCAACAGGATTCTGAAAACAAGTAACTCAAATGATGAAACTATAAACAACAACAGAAAAAAGTAACTTCTTACTGTATACTTAAATGTAGTCCACCCAAAAATTAAATGTCATCATTTACTGACACTCATGTCATTTCAAATCTACGACTTTCTGAGCAGAAAAGAAGAATGTCACTGGGGTCCAAAACAACATTGAACCCCAATGATTTTCATTGTATAGACAAAAAAAAACTAAACATTTTTTGTCCCACAGAAGAAAAGTCAGCTTTGGAGCAACATGAGGGTGATTTTTGGGACAACTATCCCTTTAATCTCCTGCATAGATGGGTATTCAGAGAAGTCTTATCCCCAAAATATTATTTTATTATATGATCAAATCTTGCCCTTTTGATTTTACAGATTATCAGACTCACCAATCTGTCCTTTGACTTTCAGAGGTGCTAATTTAATCACGATTAGGTGCCGCAAAGTACAGTTTCATCAGAGATATTATTACCGCCGCAAGTCGTCGAGTCATCTAACCTCTAATCTCATTAATGACGCATTAGACAAGCTCAGGCGTGTTTTTCTTCGTAGTAGCCTACAACCCACAAAAACACTGTCACACACATCTCTGCGATAAAGGTATGCAACATAAACAAAGACGCTTTCTAGTTAACACTTCCCCCTAGTGTCTTTTAGACATAGGCCTATCTGTAATTGCATATTGCTGAATGTTATGATTGGCAGGAGTGTTTTCCTTTTAGCAGAGAAGCTGTTGAGATTAGCAAACTATTTTTTGTACAACAAGCTGCTTTAAAAGCCTATTTGAGATGGACAGACAGACAGACAGACAGTCAGGCTTTGATTCAATTACAGCAGGCTATTTATAACCCTTCTAAATCTGATCTGTGAGGGTAGTACATGTGCGTGTCACATCATAGACAAGGTGACGTTAAAGCTCCCTACACAATAAAACCCGATCGTTCACAAGGATTAGCAATTGTCCTATCAATAAATATTATTTTATTTTTGCTGTTTTTGTAGTTTTCATAGCCTGTTTGCTTTCAGAACTGAGTGTATGCCTACTTGATTTATTCAAGCAATGAAAATGAAAGAATGAAGTAAATATATTTAGCAGAGACTCTTCCCTTTTGTTACACGATACCTCAGGGAAGAAAAAAACATGCAAATATTTGACTTTGTATTGACTGAGTATTTGTAAGGCTGGATGTGGCTGGCACATGTGTACGTGACAGAGGCACACTGGAGTATGGAAGCATATGCCTACAGTTGAATGTAGATGGACACAAAGAAGCCTTAATGCTCAGCTGAACTCAGACACGCATATGCAACACACACATTCCAGCATACTAACAGAAGTCCTGTATAAGAAGGTGTGCTCTACGGTGCTTAAAATAAAATGCAGCCAAATGCCAAAGAGAGGCGTTATTCCACCTCTCTAGACTTGAAATGTTCTGTTTATATTTGTAACTTTGGACCAGATGTATCAGAAAGACTAGAAAGGCTCTTCAACTCAAATGGGATTTACTCACAGTACATTTGACATAAAAGAAACAGTAGAGCTTCTTTTTGCCATATCACACCTTCAATAACCTTTATTTTGATTATACATCAAATCAACCCAAATGCATGCATAATTGCAAGTGTAGTTTGACTTACACAAAAAGGATGATTCCAGTGTTGGCCATGGCATAAGCCAGTCCCAGAATTCCACTGCCCATAATGGCGTTACTGAGGTTGAAAATAGACATCCCGAAAGAAGTCTTTCCCTCAAACTGGAATAAAAGATGAATGATGTATTAGTCATGAACCTATTTAACTGAATAGGGTTCTTTAGCCTGAAGGGTAGTTTCACTTTTTATGTGTAACTCCACAAACAAATTTAAGGATGGAGAAGTTAGAAATTATAGCGTCTGTGTTTGTTTCAATCAATCTTCTAATCAGTTTCACCCCTACTTGTATGTTTCTGTGAAGTAAATGATGACATTTGCGTACTCACATCTGTAAAATTAGTTGTTCCATTGCTTTTATCGTGGAGGAACGTTTCGCTTTCTGTTATGTTTTCAAGGCCATCAAATCTGTGTAATAAAAGCAAAAGGAATATTGTTTTTTATGCAAAGTTACAATGATACATTTTAATATCTGTTTCATACAGGCAATGACACAGCCAATGAATTACGTTTTGAAATTTTAGCAGGACTCTTAATATTCAGTGCTGCTAACAAAAACAAAAACTATTAAATAGTTTTGTAAACTGAAATGAAGCTGGAAAAACTTAAATAAGTTTAAGATATAAAACTAAAACAGAAATAAAACAAATGAAAATAAGTTAAAACTATTTAAGATTCTTTTTTTAAAACGCACACGAAAATGCAAAAAAAAAATCACAAATATAAATAAAACCGCTGAAAATATTAATTAAAAAAATAAATTCAGGTACTTCTAGACAGAGAGAATCCTGGTTCTTATATATATATATATATATATATATATATATATATATATATATATATATATATATATATATATATATATATATATATATATATATAAATAGATAATATACTTATATAAATAAGATATTTCTTATTTTAATTCAACCCCTCAACAAATGTTTATATATATAAGCCTATATATATATTATATATATATATATAAAATAATAATAATATATAAAATAAGAAATATCTTGTTTTTTAGTTTTTATTAATCTTTTTAATGCTTCGAAGACTATTAAAAGTTGAGACGGCTGCTTAAACACTTCACAAGTTGAATATACATAGACACTTTCAAACAAAGTTTTGCTTTAAGCTGCATAGTTTATAGGGTAAAAAAGATATGAGTTGACTTTTTAAAGCATGAACTTCATAATATGATTTGGTAGAGAGAAAGGTACATTGCTGAAGGAAGTTTCTGAGATAGTTCCTCATGAATGTGTTGGTGTGGAAACGTACCCGCTCTCCGGACTTTTGTCAGGGCTGAGATCATGGTGACCGTTTGACATTTTCTGTACCTCCATTTTAGGCTTCTACACTTAACAACTCTCCAATGAACACTGTCTATATAAGGTCAAGCTCTGTAAACACAATCTGAAACACAGAAAAAGGGTTCTGGGGTCAGTGATCATTTTATTGAGAACTGAAATGATTGTAAAACATCAATGCGTTGCTGAAAAAAGGTGCAGTGTGAAGTGTCCAAAAGCTGGAAAATAAAGAATGTGCAACATGAGCATAATCTTCACATAAATACAAAAAAAGGTGGAAGATGTGGCAGGGGAAAAGTAATGGTAAAAACATTCCTCAGAGCATTACTGGCTGCTAGAAAGACACCTACTGGAAAGATAGTCTTGATATAAAACAGCTGTGTATGTGCGTATTTTCCCCCTTCATCACTAATTCAGACTGATAAGTTAGCTGTGAGCAGTAGCTATTCTGCAGCTCTGTGTTTTTAATCATATTTAAAGCTTGATTATTATAAAGTCAAGTCAAGTCACCTTCATTTATATAGCGCTTTTTTACAATAGAGATTGTTTCAAAGCCACTTTACTGTGATAATAGGAAAGGAATGCAACAAAGATAGTTTTGGCTGTAATTTCTAACGTTAGCTTAAAAAAGTTTTTAATTGATTCATTTCCGTTGTAAAAATCATTAGTTATTAACTTAATAACTACACGACACCGTTTTCAACTGAAAACAGAAAACTTTTAATGCGTTCTGGCCGTTCATTTACATGAAAAACCATTATCATCTCTGTGTAAACTTCAAAAACTCAAATTTGTGAAAACGGTGACGGCATGCACATGCGTATTACTTGTTTAGTCTTTAAGAACACAGCTGCTGTGTTTTGGACCAGCTGGAGTTTGTTATTAACAACCAGCCAGTAGAGCATTACAATAATCTAGCCTTGAGGTCATGAATGCATGAACTAACTTTACCGCATTTGTCATTGAGAGCATTTGTCGTCATTTATATTCTTAAGATAGAAGAATGTTGTTTTACAGATACTAGAAACATGGCTTTCAAATGAAAGATTGGTATCAAAGTAAATAAACAAAGTAAAAATACACTATAATTTGAATTTGTGGGAGGTGTAATTACATGCAAGTTCAGGCTTACAGCAGTATTCTCAACCTGAAAACGAAATATGTTCAGATCTTCCCAAAGTGTTTTATTAAAGGTCAACCGTGTATAAATATAAATACATGGCAGGCAAAGTATTACGCTAATGCGAATTCAGCTAATGACTGTTTTCCCCTGTTGCCATTGGTCAGCTGAATGGATAACCCCACCCCCCAAATTCTTGCTTTTGGTTGAGCCATTGTTGTTGAGTCTTGTTGGTGGAAATGGTCCTGTGCTAACCCTGTGCTAACAGATAGCTTCCTCCAGGTTCTACAGATCGGTTTGTCTCAAATTAACAGAGCAATGTTTTCATAGTGTCACAGAGCCACTATGAAATTCAACCTACGAATGACTTCCTTACGGTCCCTAATATTAAACTATTAAGAAACATCTCTAAGTACACTTGGCCTTTATTTTTATATTATATTATTTGAAAGCACTGTTTTAAATATATATATACTTTTACGATTTAAAGTACACTAAGGTGCACATTAAGCAGATTTATTTTTCACAAAGGTAAGAATGAAGCTAGTGAAACTTTCTCTCTGTGTGTGGTTTGAAATGATGATAGACACCACAGAAAGGGCAGTGCAGCATATGTTATGATTATAAATATATGCGTGTATATCATATAAGGCATCTTTTAAGTGTAAACTCAGTTTAAGCATGGCTGATGCAACCCTTCGTAAGCTTGCACTCTCAAGGAAACAATGTGAAAAATGTGTCGGAGCTTGTAGGTCAGGAAATACTTAAGTCTTAATCTGTCATTTACATGTGGAATGAAAGGATACTTGCAGTTGCCTTAATAAGGCAAAATGTCTGTCCACTCAGTGCTTTATTAGGTTTTGATGCAGAATTCCCTGAATAGTTTAAGTCCTTCCCTGCCAAAAGCGTGGCAAGCACAGCTGGTCATTGTTTAGTGGTCAAACTGTCCAAAATATGTGAAGATAAAATACCACTTTATTTTAATTTTGAGCCGCAAATCAATTGCCCACTCAAAACACTATACATTTAAGACCACCTGTACAATATATTATGTGCTTGTTTAAAGTAAGAGCGATACAACAAAAGATACAGTTCAAGAGAAGTGTCCTTTAACAGCGTTCCATCGCCGAATGTCTGTAGCTGTTTGGTTATAATGAAAAATATGGCTATGGAAAAGAGGTTAATGCAATAGTTACTCTTGACAAACCATCTAATTTGCTGCCAAAACAAACAATTGGTGGGAAATAAAGCATGAAATTAATAAATACAGAAACTGTAAAGCATGGGAAGTTAGCCTGTGAGGCAAGTCTTGACCACATGACTCTTGTCTGATGCAAGACTTTATCTGTATTGAAACAGAACCAACCCCCCTAACACACCCTTGTATAAACACATGCTTTTATTCCAAAGAAATAGGCAGTTGAGGAAGTACTCACCACTTTGAGAAAAAGAGAAACCTTTCAAAAGTCAAAAGTCTCTAAAAGTGTAGCTAGGTAGTGTACTAGAGAGTCTTCATTCATTAGTTTGTTTCCTGTGTTACCTTAGTGAAGCTGTCCAGCTTGTGTGGCATGTGCAGAGCTCACCTGTGTGGGGGAGGAGCAGGAGATTAACTCCGATGAGTTATGAGTGAAGGGATGAAGGATGTCTATATTTAGGGACGCTCTGGCATGAGTCCGCTATATTAACACAGGTTAAAAGTAGTAAATCTGCAGAGTTTTGTAAATATGATGTAAGTTTGATTGTTTCATATAGCTGGAGTAAAGTTGAGTATGGGGTGGGAAAAGGCATTAGGGGATTGTGTGTCTGTGTGTGGTCCTGGTACATTGTGTGGACCAAATGTTCTCACAAGGATAGTAATTTTTTTACTATCCTTGTGTAGGATTTTTTTTTTTTACCTTGTAGGGACATTTTTGGTCGCCATGACGAAAACAGCTATAAATCATAATAAATCGTGTCCCTTTTTTGTCTTTCTTTTGTTGTTGAAAATTTTTAACTTAATGTTTTCCATAAGGTTTGTGTTTATGGGAAGGGTTAGGGGATAGAATGCAGTTTGCACAGTATAAAAATCATTATGTCAATGGAAATGTGTGTGTGTGTGTGTGTGTGTGTGTGTGTGTGTGTGTGTGTGTGTGTGTGTGTGTGTGTGTGTGTGTGTGTGTGTGTGTGTGTGTGTGTTGTCATAAGTAATGAGATTAGGAGATCAGGGCTTTTTAAAGGTAACTGTCTGTGACGAGCAGGACGAGGCCGAGGGCCGTGAGAGAACGCGACGCACCGGTCTCGTATCTCTCACGGAGGAGCGGAAGCATAAAGAAGGAGCGATGACAGTGAAGATCGAGAGAGGCCAGGCCTGGATTTATGTTGTGTTTTGTTATACAATATGTAACAGCAGTCGTTCGTGAGGGGCTGCTGTCTTTAATTTTGTATTTGTTATTTTAAGTTTATTAAAGTCTTTGAATGTCCGCCGGTTCCCGCCTCCTTCTTCCCACAATAACGAACTTTGCTACAGTAACATACCTGTAAGACCTGGAACAACACTTTTAGTCATTGCACACTGTGTTAATTCAAACACTTCTTTGATAATTTGTCCAAATACAATGTCCAAATCCCTTTTGATAGTTTTTTATATGCTGCTTTATAAACCCTGTCGCTGGACAATTGATTTGATATGTTTTTATAAATAATTTATTCCTAATTCATTAAGTCATATAAAGAAAGTGTGTGGAATTTTAGTTTAAACAAAAGATTCCGATACCGATATCATTATCGGAATTGGGCCTGATACTGATCTCATGTTTGTACATGTACTCAGGGAGAGAGGACTTCTGTTGCATGCTCTTGCTTGCTGATCGCTCACTCAGCACACATGCGTCATATGGATTAAAACTAAATCGTATAAGTAAAAACATGAACTTTGACATGATTTTTTAATGTATTTTTTTATGATTTTATATTTATGTATAAGTGTGGTTCCCTACATTATTACAGGAAAGCGGCACGGTAATCACATGATGTTTTCAAGAAGTTTTCTATCATTCGAAGTGCGCGCCCAGAAAGCTGCCCTTTAGACAGAGCGCAAGCCTAATAAATTGAGTTCTCTTTCTCATCTTCTTGCACTTGAATGGAGAAATTCACACAAAATTGTCAAAAGGCCCGTATCGGCGAGTATCCTTGTGAAACATAGTCAGTTCTGTGTTCAGTGAATATAAACAGTTGAGAAAGAAAGCGCATAACCGTATATTGGATACGTGCAGCTCTTAAAGTGACGGCAACCTAATATTCCTGCTGCTGTCTTTGTACTTAATGTTAATCTAATAACAAAAGATAAAGAGAAATTCACCAATTGCCTTTGACTGAATAACTTTTGTAACTTTTATAAGGAATCAATCTATATTTAAAGGTGCTCTAAGCGATGTCACGCGTTTTTTTAGGCCAAAACATTTTTTGTCACATACAGCAAACATCTCCTCACTAACCGCTGGCTGCCTGTCCCCTGAACACACTGTAAAGAAACGCGATCTCTGTAGACAGCCCAGGCTCCACAAACAGCAACAAAAACAAACTGGGCTAACCCGCTCCACGAAACATGACAAACAGTTCCAGCCAATCACCGACAAGAAGGACTTGGGGGCGGGGTTTGGGGGGTTAGTGCGCGGATGAGGAGGAGGGAGGGTCTAGCTAGCCTCCGTTTTGTTTGACAATACTTTAAACGTCAACAAGAAGTGACGTCACCCGACATCGCTTAGAGAACCTTTAATGTATACAGTGAAGACTATGTAGTTTTCTTTTATATTTGATTACTTTATTCAATTTCTGTACCTGAAAATGGTGATGTTTCACTGGTATAATAGTATACACAAATTTGAACCCCTGGCCCAACCGGGCCCAATCTATCTGCCATAAAGTTCTTGGGCAAAATATTTGACTGACTGATGAAAATTATGAACCATGTCAAATGCTATATATATATACACACACAGTCAAAACATCACAGTCAAAAGCCAAAACATAAAATAGTTATGAATTGCCATGAGATTGTGTTGGTTTGACAGGCGTATTTAAAGTATTTACTGTTGAGATTCTAAAAACGTTTAACATAATATTTGAACTTAACAGCATTAGCATACAAGAGTGCATTAGTGAAAATATATCACAGTGATTGGTATGTCAGTCATGAAAGTAGCACATGTATTTAATGTTCAGTCATGCTTCATTGTACGTTCAATTAAGGACTGCAAAAGTATAACATTTTAAAGAAATATTAAAGAAAAAGGCAGTGTATGAAAGACAGTATTTCTCTCACTCACACACACATAGCCCACTCAAGACAGTATGCCCGTATTTGCAGACATGTGGCCATTTGGTCACAAGTGTTTACTTTTAGGTAATAAAGAGATTGATATTAAAAAATGTTGTGTGATTATCGTCATCAAACAGGATGTTCTTACACAAAGATTATAGCGTCAGACAGGAACTAGCTTATATGACTCATATACAGTACATGTGGCCCTCACTCACAGAATGCTTCTGTCGCAGGGCCTTGTGGGTGAAATAAAACTTTATACAGGAGTCAAAACACTACATTCTAATAGTCTGTACTTTTTATGTAAGAGGAAACGTCATCTAAGACGTCATATTCTAAAAAATTCAGTTGAACACTATTGAGATCCACCTCAAGATACACACTGATATCTAACAAGAACAGGCTCTCCTGGAAAGCTTTGGCCAACATTCACTGACATAACCGGTCACAGAGTACCATTACGCCTTGTTGACGTTAAACACATTTATGACAAAGTGGAACTAAAATGCTACAGGTATGACGCATTTCAAACCAGTAAAGTGGCTTTTGAAGCTGTGAATGTATGTGAAAAATTAAATAACCTATACAGAAATTAGTGCATTATGGAAATGTGGTGCATTGTATAATAATCAACCTAATTCCATTCATCACTTCAACCTCAGTTTACTCCACATCCTTTACACAACGCACGTAACTCATGTGAATCTGTAGTTTGTGTTTGAGTATGAGGTAGAAAATGCTTAGTGATGAATATCCCAATTCATAATCCATATCAACTATGCGTGCCATTTAATATTTTAAAGTCTAGAAAGTCTATATACACATTGTAATATCTACAATGGCAAGTATGCGTGAAATACATATTTAATATGATTCTCCTATGATTAAATGAAGAAACAGTGTAAAGATCCATGTGAACCTACAGACAATTGTGTGATTGTTCTGAACTGCTTCTGTCATGAATTATTGCTGCTTTCGGCTCTAGCTGCCATGTGCCACATGGCGTAGGTCTCCCTACTTCCTTCTGATGTAGCTGAGGAGATCTCATGAATGGTGCTAACAATTAATCAAGAAACAGATGAATTATTAACTAGTGACTCTATGTAAAGAAACTGTTTGACAACTGTTATTTTGGACGAATATACTGCTGAGAGAATATTTGAATGATATTATAGTCTCCTTACCTTTTTGACACTTGACAATTGTCTTCAATGTAGACAACAAATCGATCTTCTAATGGAGAAAAATTATGGTTTGATTCTCCCAGATGGTTCTTGAGTACGTCATCTAACACAGACAGATGGAGTGAAAGGGAGAGAGAGCTTTAGACAAAAATGTGGTGCAATCTAGTAAGGGACGTTTTTTAGCCACTCCTTCAAACTAAAAAAAAAGAGCGGGACTTCCAGTTTGTCCCGCCTTTTTCTCAACTGAGATAACTTACTTATGTTCTGAATCTCACATCTCTTTCTTCCCTTTGCATATACAAATAGCTAATGTTTGAGGACAACATTGTCCTCAGAAGCGAGCTAAATCTGACAAAACCTCATTATCGAGACATTTGAGGACGTCCTTAAATGGGGGGGAATCTTCAAAAAAGGTTATTTTAGGGTTAGGGTTAGTCTGCTGATAATGTGAAAATTTCTCACTATTAGTGTTGGCATACTTACTGTGTTTTGCCTTTGCTAGGACTGCCAACTTTTGGTCGGCAGATTGGGGGGGGGGGGATGCAAAACTTGCATCACAATAATTGTAAGCTATTGTGAATGTCAAAACATTTGGTGCAATGCATGGTAAGCTACTGCTTTTATTATTGCTTGATACAAATTTTACTATTTCAATTCAGTTCTTGTGGTTTGATTCTGATCTTGATTCAATATCGACTCATTTTAGTAAATAGTAGGTACAGTTAGGTACATGTTCATTTTTCGCAAGAAAGAAAATCTCACCTAATGCTGTAAACATAGGCTACAGAGAGCCCTGTCAGCTGGTATTATTAAAGGTTAAAAATAACAACTCAAATAAATATAATGCTGGTTTTTATTATAATAACAACTTTAAGCCCTGCTGTAAGGCAGCAGAGGCAAAGACATGTTCTGCATCTGGCATGGAACAATAGCAAGAAGTTTCAAATCCTCATTATCCTCCACGGCTTTCTTGACAAATTAACACCAATAGCAGACTTCATGCATTAGCATAATAAGATGCATGGATCTAATAATAATAATAATAATAGGCTACATTTATTTTATTTGAAATGCACTTTACATTTAAGACAAACCTCAAAGTGCTGCTAATATTTAAATGTGATGTAATTGGTCATTGTAGCCATACTGATGTTCAGACATCATGACATGTACCTCACTCTTCTGTGAATGTTGCACAAACTTGTCATGATGATGGTCACCAAGCACTGCTGGTTATAGCATGTCGTGGTTTGGATGTCCCCACCAGGCTTCTTAACTACAGCAAGAGGCCAACCAGCTTCACCAAAAAGACCATGCTGGTTGACAGCAAACATTTTTGTCAGCATTTCTACCAGTCTGACCAGCAACAAACGAGCATGGACATTCATGCTAGTCTAAGCTGGTTCTTTTCACCTGTAAATAAAGATTAAATAAATTAGTAAAATTGAAGCAGGATTATTTACATATTTAATTCTCTGTTCAGTTTACCCCAGTTGTTACATTAATATAGCTAGCTGGAATTGTGTTGTAGTTAGCATATTAGCAAAGGTTGGCATCCTCAGTGTCTTGCAGACTTCTATGTACAACAGCTCCCTCAGATGGTGATGCGTTAGAATAGAATAGCAGAGTTGTTATCTATGATCATCACAGCAGTGGGTTCAACTGGTGTCAAACACATTGTCCTTCGTACAAAACCCTCGTAAACCAGAATATCTTTGTGAATTCTGTCCTCCAAAACAAAAATTCCAATATCACCATATTTTGTAATAGCTTGTGAACTCAATAAAAGGTTGGTGGAATTTGTTACATGTATTTTAAATGTTTTTCATTTATACTGTATTATTAATAACATTTTGTTGTTGGCCAAAACAAAGGTTTTATCATTTGTATGTTTCATGAAGTGTTATAGCCTATGTTTAATACTTATTTTTCTGTTTAAATTTAAATAAAAACTCTATAATAGTTTTGTACATTTTACTAAATGTTTTGTAGTCAGGAATGTAGTATTTGTATCTAATCAGTAATTGATTTTGATAATAAATTTATACGGAAATATTGTGTTACAACTAACCCTGTTCTCTCCCTTATATTGTTAAAAATGCATTATTATTATTTTTTTATTCTTTGACTCTATAAATAGAACTTTCTGTTGATGAGTGACAAAAATGGGTCCTTCCAAGCAGTGGATTTCAAAATGTTTAGGAGCATTCCAATGAAACAGAGATCTATATTGTGAGTGTGCAAGCATAGGCAAATTGGGTATTTGTATAAAAAAGTGTATGGGTAAAATAAAGGATAATTTTTAGTAGGTTGATTAATCACATTAAGGTTGGCTAATTTTGTCAAATTTTTATAAAAAATAGATTTTAACAGCTGGGCTGTCAGAAAGAGGACTTTTGTTTTGTTCCCTCCCCTCCCACCCCACTCACACCAACCCGGAAAAAGGAAATAATGTCCGTAGTCGTCCACTAGCTCAAGTCAGTTTGAGGTCGAGTGGAAGGTAAGCAAACAAGTATTTTTTTTCAAAGTAACACGTTTTTACCAGTAAATAATAGTTTTGTTTACGGTAGGTGTTTAAACTTTGACAAAGTCGCTATTGTTCTTTTTAGAAATGAAACTAGATTTTAGCCGTTTCACACTTTGCTATGAGAGCAGATGAGTCTGGTCTGAACAGACAGTTAGCTGCTAGCAGACTGACAGTCTTAAGTTACTACACTGCTGATAATAGTTTCTGTGTTTTTACTTTTCATACTTTCTCTTTAGGCTTATAAATATTAGTAATTGATTAGTAAGAAAATATTAGGCTTAGTTTTGCTTTTAAAATTGCATAAATGCTAAATACACAAACCCACTAAAAGCGATGGCAAACTTTAGTGTGTCTGTTTACAGTATTTTGTCAGTCCGTTTGCTTTTCTGTCTGTAGTCTTTCTCGGTGATTTTTAATAGTATTAAGTCTTGCAGCTCATGTCATTACTGGTTTTGTTCTGATTTTATTGGTCAACTTTGTTTCATTTCATTAGTCACACGATTTATTCATAGTGAAATTCCCCATGCTTTCTGCAAACACGTATCTCTGACCTCAGTCTCAGTGACATCAGCTGTGGAAGTTGAGTCAGATGTTAAATATGGCGTTAAGTATCATAGCCTGTATCTTATGCTTGTTTTGGCCACGGCGCAACAAAGGGCCAGTCAGACTTTACAGGCGTGGATTTTCTGGGAAGTTAAATGTTGTAGCTGATGTTGAATGCTGCCTTTCACTGAATACCTGCACAAGAAACACATGAAGTGAAGTGTGAAGCTGGTAATGGAAAGAAATTATCATTTTTATGTGAACCAGCAGCCTTCTGTACCAATGTCATGACAGGGGTCTTCAAACTGGGGTCTGCGGGCTGCAAGGGAGTGCTTGGGGGTCCATGGAAAAGTTAAGAGAAAAACATTATGCATAAACTAAATAAATAAAGCGATTAAATAAATCACTACAAGTTAAGAGAATAATAATGCAATTTGGATTTACACAAATACATTTTTTTTTTGTTTACATAAATGAATAAATAGGCTACATCTAACAGTACAGTATTATTAGTGATTGGGGAAAAAGTAATAATGTAAAATATATACATAAAGAAATTCTGAAATATTTTACCCTTATGTATATATAACAGTCTACATGGAAATATATAGATTGATCATTCTTTAAAAAAAAAGAAGACATTTTAGGATAAGGGCTTTCTTGCATGAGTATAATCATATTTGGGGGTCCATTACATCTAGAAGATTGAAAAGCCATGTCAAAGATTAAACACAGAGAGAGAGACGTTGTATCCATGTCTGTCCATCAAGTTGAATTTACAGGACAATTTAATAATGTAAATAAAATTAATTAATTTATATAGTGCTTTACATAGAAGGGGGAATCTCCTCAACCACCACCAATGTGCAGCATCCTCCTGGATGATGCGACGGCAGATATAGTGCGCCAGAACGCCCTCCTACGCCAATTAGTGTGTGTATGTATATATGGGGATTATTAGGAGGCCATGATGGACAGAGGCCACTGGGCAAAATTGGCCCCTACTCTTTCAAAAGACATCCTGGGATTTTTTATGACCACAGAGAGTCAGGACCTTGGTTTAACGTCTCATCCGAAGGACGGTGCTCTTTGACAGTATAGTGTCCCCGTCACTACACTGGGGCGTTAGGTCCCACACAGACCACAGGGTGAGCTACTGGCCTCACTAACACCTCTTCCAGCAGCAACCTGGTTTTCCCAGGAGGTTTCCCATCCAGGTACTGACCAGGCTCAACCCTGCTTAGCTTCAGTGGGCAACCAGTCTTGGGCTACAGGGTGATATGGCTGCTGACAAGCATATTTTAAAAGAAAACGACGCATAAACAAGATAACCATGACTCTGTTTTGTATCTTGTTTGTAGCTATTAACACTTCAAACACTGTCCGTTCTGATGCAACATGTTTTTCCTCTCCAGTTAACCATGGCGATGACAAGTCAGACGTCCTGCTCCTCGATGAGCAACCACACTAAGGAACGGGTCACCATGGCCAAAGTGACGCTGGAGAATTTTTATAGCAACCTGATTTCACAGCATGAGGAAAGGGAAATGAGGTAAGGACTAAAAAAAGCAAAAAGCTTTTCCAAAAAAGCAAGACCTTTTTTGTTGTTTTAAAGTTATTTTTAAGTATAGACTTTATTTTTCCATCGAAAACTACTCGTAGCCCATATACTGGTCTAAATATTTAGGACTTTAGGATTCTCTTATTAATGTAGTTTTTGTAACTTTCACTAGTTGAACTGGTTTGGCAGGTCTAAATGATTCACTAAGCATTTGGACAAATACCTGTAATTCCTCACATACTTTAGGTTTGGGTGAATATGGCGAGACTACTGTCTGTCATTTGTGCCCATTGTGTTTCTTTAAGAACCTCCCAAATTCCAGGGGGCCTTTAATATGGACTCTTCTGTCCCTCTTGAAATGATGTCAGACCAGTGGACCACACCTTTCTGGCGTTTTATCACATGTCTAAAAGCTATTCTCTATATGTTACAGGAAACAGAAACTGGAAAAGGTCATGGATCAAGAGGGCCTAGCTGATGAAGAGGTGAGCTTTTCTGAAATACTTGCTTACATTTTAAAAAGTCTTGATCTAGACACTGGTGGTTTTGTTAAATGTTTAAACACACAGACAATATCATGTGATCGGTTGATTTAATGTCTACTTTTCATGGTCCCGCAGAAGCCTCTCCGGCGGTCTGAGCATGCTAGGAAAGAGACAGAGTTTCTTCGTCTTAAACGAACACGGCTTGGATTAGAGGACTTTGAGTCGCTCAAAGTGATTGGCCGTGGAGCTTTCGGAGAGGTATGAGTTTTTTTCTGTTATAGACTGCATCAATTCAAAATAAAAAAATGTTGGTGCATATAGTTGTGAGGCCATTTGTACACTATGTATAATCTACCTTTCTGAAGTTTTGGGTCAGCACGTTGTTTTTTTATTTTTTATTTAATGCATTGTTTCTATTCAACAAGTATGCATTAAATGAATCAAACGTGACAGTTTAGGCGTATAAGTTTATAAAATAATGTTCTTTTGAGCTTTCTATTTATCAAAGAATCCTGAAAAAAAATGATCATGGTTTCCACAAAAGTATTAAGCAGTGCATCTGTTTTCAACATTGATAGTAAAAAGATTCTTGAGGTGCATATTAGAATGATTTCTGAAGGATCATGTAACACTCAAGACTGGAGTAATGGCTGCTGACAATTCAGTTTTTCCATCACAGGAATAAATTACATTTTATGATATATTGAAGTAAAACAGAATTATTTTAATTTGTAATATTATTTCACAATATTATTGGTTTTACTGTATTTGTAATCAAATAAATGCAGCCTTAACGAGCATGAGAGACCACTTTCAGAAATCGTACAAACTTTTGAACTGTTGTGTATTTTGTGATATTCTAGTACATTTAAAATGCACTTTCTCTCTCTAGGTGCGGCTAGTTCAGAAGAAGGACACGGGACACGTTTATGCCATGAAAATCTTGCGCAAGGCTGATATGCTTGAGAAAGAGCAGGCGAGTTTTCACTGATGGAGTCACATATTCACACATGACATTGAAGTTTCTTTGTCTTGTTAACAGGTCTCTGTTTTCTGTTCAAGGTGGGTCATATTCGAGCAGAAAGGGACATCCTTGTAGAGGCAGACAGTCTGTGGGTAGTCAAGATGTTTTATAGCTTTCAGGATAAGATGAACCTCTACCTCATCATGGAGTTTCTGCCTGGAGGTGAGCGTGGGTTGATCTCGGTTCATTTCAGAGAAGCATTACAATCGAGATGATGGCACCAAATATGACTGATGTGTGTGTGTTTGCCCAGGTGATATGATGACTCTACTGATGAAGAAAGACACTTTAACGGAGGAGGCCACACAGTTTTATATTGCTGAGACTGTACTGGCTATTGACTCCATTCACCAGCTAGGCTTCATCCACAGAGACATCAAACCAGACAACCTGCTGCTGGACTCAAGAGTAAGAAAACCCACACAGATTATTTCATGAAATTAAATATTACATTTAAAATTTTTAGCAAAATAAATAGTTTTTGAAGCATCACATTATTCAGAAAAAGAAAGGCAGCTACATTTGCTGCTGTCAATTTCAATAGTCAACCAGTAAAATTTCACTTGGTACCTCAGAGTATGATATTATAGCATTGTATTTATTAGTATTGAATTGTGACCTCCCTATAGGCAAGTTAAATCTAACAGCCTCGCAGGGTCACATGGTCTTGATCAAAAGAGTGATTCTTATTTTGCTCTTTCAGGGCCATGTAAAGTTGTCTGATTTTGGCTTATGCACTGGTCTGAAGAAAGCTCACCGCACAGAGTTCTACAGAAACCTCAATCATAGCCTTCCCAGCGACTTCAGTAAGCAGACAAACATCTCTTCTGGTATTAATCCTAAAGATTTCATATACCACATTACATTCATGTATTTTTGCATCATGCTCTTAGTAAAATGTATTTGACATAATACGCTACTGTTCAAAAGTTTGGGGTCAGTACGTTTTTTTTAATGATTTTGTCTCTCACCCTCACCAAGGCTGAATTTATTTGATTAATAATACAGTAAATATTGTAATTTTGTGAAATAATTAAAAAAACTTTTAATATAATGTAATTTATTCCTGTGGTGGCAAAGCAATTTAAGTAATTTAAAAGTAATTTAGAATTTGAAATCTTTTGTAACACTATAAATGTCTTTTATATTTTTCTAAATTTAAAACATCCTTGCTAAATAAAATGATTAATAATTAGTGACCCTAAACAGTAGTGTATATGAAGTAATGAAGAGATTGGATGGCTGATTCTGTGGCAGTAACTCTGGACTTTTTTTTTCTTCGTCCGTAGCGTTCCAGAACATGAACTCAAAGAGGAAAGCAGAAACATGGAAGCGAAACAGGAGACAGTTGGTAAGGGTTTCCTCTTGACCCAATACTGCCCTACACATAGTGTGTACAGATAGATTCAGTGTTGCATGAAGAGCCTTTGCAAGAGTTATTGTGAAATTAGTGTGTTCTTAATGTGGCAGTTGATGATTGTAAAAGTAGAGTGGGAGGGTTACGATGCAGTCTTGTGTAATTCATTATATTCTCTATCTCACAACTTTTTGTGTTGGATCAATAAGTAGAATAGTAGACAAGGAAGTTTGTCTGAATTAAAGGTGTTTTTTTCAGGCCTTCTCCACTGTTGGAACCCCTGACTACATCGCCCCAGAAGTCTTTATGCAAAATGGGTATAACAAGCTCTGTGATTGGTGGAGTTTGGGTGTCATTATGTATGAAATGTTGATAGGTGAGTTGATTTTTGCTTTGTAAATAAAGTAAGTTTTTTGTTTTGTGTATTTGGCTAAAGTGTTTGTGTGGGTATTTTTCAGGTTACCCTCCATTTTGCTCTGAGACACCTCAGGAAACGTACAGGAAAGTGATGAACTGGCGGGAAACTTTGACCTTTCCACCTGAGGTCCCAATTTCAGAGAAGGCCAAGGATATGATCCTCAGGTTCAGCTCTCTCACTGCTTATACTTTTCCTTCTTCCACTTTTTATTGGGCTTTATTTTCATATTTTTTGCTGTGATTTTTGCCTTTATTTTATGCTCTTAGCTGGAACTCTTGTCTCTTCTTTTGTCTCATCCCAGTGCATTTTGCTTTCATTAACCATGATGCTAACCTACATTTTAAGACATGGTTAATTTTTAGCAATCTTTTTTTTTCTTCAGTTCACCTGATGTTCTGTTGTTTTCCACTAGGTTCTGTTGTGAGAGTGAGCTCAGGATTGGAGCCACTGGAGTGGAGGAGATCAAGACTAACCCTTTCTTCGAGGGGGTGGACTATGACCATATCAGGTATACTGTCATCTCACGTAGACAAACACAGATTAAACTGGTATTGAATAATGAAATGAGTTTACTATTATAATGATCAGTGTCTTTTGCATAATATAGGTCTTCATGATTTAATTGTCTTTGGGCTTTGAATGTAAACATACATTGTGCAGTATATACTTTCTATATTGCATGTAGAATTCAGCAAGTGGTGTCCCGTTATAATTTTTTTGACTGTTTGGTCAAATAATCCGAACTAAAACACAGTTTGTATTACTTTTAGTTCATTGCATCTGGTTCACGCAGTGTGCACTTTTTATTTGCAATTCTAGGTTATATGTGTATTCTATACCTTTGATTTGCATGCCATGCACATTTTACAATACTGTTAGAAAGTTTGAGGTTAGTAAGATAAAAAAAAAAAGTTTTTAAGTCTCTTATGCTCACCAAGGCTGTATTTATTCGATCAAAAGTAAAAACAGTAATATTTTGAAATAAAACAGCAATATTGTGAAATATGATTATATTTTAAAATAACTATTTTCCATTTTAAAATGTCATTTTACTGTGAATACAAATCAGAATTTTCAGCATCATTACTTCAGTCTTCAGAATCACGTGTTCCTTCAGAAATCATTCTAATATGCTGATTTCCTGCTCAAGAAACATTTCTTATTATTATCAATGTTTAGAGCAGTTGTGCTGCGTAATATTTTTGTGGAAACCGTGATAATTTTTTTTTCCAGGATTCTTTAAGTAGTGAGTTAAAAACAACAGGATTTAATCTTTTGTATTATATTGTAAACATTTTTTTAGTGCATCCTAGGTATTAAAGGTATTATTTTCTTTTTTTTAAGAATGGTAAGAGTAGTATGGATGTATACAATTCTGAACACAGCTGATTTTTTTTTTCCTCTAGGGAGAGACCAGCAGCTATTCCAATTGAGATCAAAAGCATTGACGACACCTCAAACTTTGACGAGTTCCCTGATTCAGACATCCTTCAGCCTACAGGTGCATTTTTAGTCACTTTAGATATGCTTACTGAAATGCATGACATTTTATGGGTTATGTATTTCAGAACTATATAATAACATTACTCCCTAACTTCCTCTATTCTCTCTCAAGCCCCTCCTGTGTCCAACCACACCGAGGCAGATCTGAAGAGTAAAGACTGGGTGTTCATCAACTACACCTACAAGCGCTTTGAGGGGCTGACTGCACGAGGAGGCATCCCATCGTACATGAAAACTGGGAAAAGATAGGCCTCGATGGGACTTGATGCTGCGCTTTTGCAGTGGATGTTTTTCAATAAGGAGACGTTCTCCATCGCTCCTCTTCGCATCTGAAGGATCTTGCATCATCCGTTTCCTGTTTTGATTCAGTCGACCATGACTCATTAATGGATGTTGACTCCACCCGCACTCAATCCATAGAAGGACACGTTCAGAGTCATACCTAAGGGCTTTTTTTCCTCTCACACCCTAAATGTCCTCACTTCACCCTTTTCCTTTTTTCTTTCTTAAGGATTTGAGGCAATCGTCTTGCAGGTTGCCAGATTTTGTACATTTTAGGAATGGGGATTTTAGTACACTGACACTGGTAAAAAAAAAAAAGGGCTTGAACGGAAGCTAGTTAGATCTCCTGCAACCATAATTGATTTGAACTGCGTTAGCACTGGTGGATCGTCGATTAACCATTTCAAAGAACTAGCGTTTGTGGTAAAATCTCCGTCTCAGCCTTTTTTCGTGTCCACATCTGATGTACACATCTTCCCTAGTTTTAATCGAGATGGATTTTTTTGAAAATCCATTCTTTTAAAGACAATACTTTCCTCTGTTTCATGGAAATTCCTTCTCGTTACGCTCGCCATCCAAGATCTCAGTGACAATGGCAAAACACGGGGCTTCATAGTCAGTCGGATCTGAATGTGATTTATACGAACCCCCAAAGCTGCAGATGTTGCCTTGCGCTCGGATCCTTCTTATACCAGCAGAAACATCATGAATGCATTTGCCAATTAAACCAAATTATTCATCAACTGCATATCAGGAAACTTCACCAGCTTATGTCAATAACCAAGCAATCTCTATGGACCAGCATTAGTTTTTTTAATGGGTAGTTTCAGCCACTGGCTGATTCAGAAGTTGCTTGGTGGTAATGCAATTGTTTTTCTTAATAAAGGGGCTCATTGCTGAAGTTTGGGGAACAAAGCCACAATTCTTGCATCTTGAGAAGAATAGCAAAACTATTCAGGGATTTGAATTTGATCGAGTCTTCCGTTTTGTGGCGATGAAATGTTCAATGCAAAAAATTGTATACTACCAAAGAGATGCCACTTTTAATCATCTTTATGGGCTTGAATCTCGATGTTGTTTGGTCATGGATGCTTTGGCTTTCATACAGCATTAATTAGCAAGCTTATACTTTGTCTTGAGCAGCTATCAACTTAACTTGTAGCAAGATATTAATTCCATATGGTTTTAGTCAGTCTGCATTATTGAAGCTGCTTGTATCAGCATGTTGCTAGTGATGGCTGACTGTACAAATCAAACAAGAGTGCAAGAATGATTTTCAGAGTGTGTGAAATTCGCAGACAGTGAATGACTGAATTGTATTTCTACAATCAGGAACCATGTGTCGTCTTTCTGTGACCAAATTGAATGTATCTTGAAGATTAAAAGAGGCTTCTGGAAGATCCATTCATTTAGAATCGGCTGCTCGAGAATGACCTGAGATTCACCTAAATGCGATTGATTTGGTGACTAGATTTTATGCTGCACACAGCATGACAAAAGTTTTGTATGTGGAATTGCTTGTTGATAGATGTTGAGCTGAGCACAATATACTGCTAGAGTAATATCTCAAATAACATTACTGTATCCCACAATGATATGGAAAGTAGCATGAAATCATGTTCGAATGGTGCGTTTTTTTTATCCTTAGAGCAATTTGTGACCGCCTTTGGTCTGGATGTGTATTATTATTATTATTATTAATTTTTTTTTTTAATATATAATAATTATGGCTGGAGAGTTTTTATGCTGTCTGAGTGTCGTTCTGTTGCATGTTTTCACGTGTGCTGGACAAGTCAAAGAGCTATGAATGAGTTTGTGAAGTTTCATGCTGCTTTATTTGTTCCTCTTTTTCTAGTATCAAGAATATGTAGGGGTGATTTCATGGGTATTGCTTATGAATGATGGCTTGGTGGAATTATACACTGTCTCTAAGAAGCAGATCACAGGCTGGACTGCTTTGTATCTCTTGTTGCTGTATCTCACATGCTGAAAATGATCATGATCATAAAGAGAGTATCTGTTTTAAATTCTCACTTGTTTTTCTGTAGGTTTCTTGCTTGCATCCTTGTCCTAGAGTGAGGATGTTCTCTTTGAATCAGGAAAAAGGACACTTTTTCTTTTCTTGAAGATAAACAATGCACCTTTTGCTAGTTGTAATGTCATGTATATTTAAAGTACACACACACACTTGTCAAGTTATATACACACTGAATGACTGTTCTGTTGTTTGCCTGTAAGAGAGTTTGTAATTCTTTCAGAAACTTATTTCACACCTAACCAGATGTAGACTAGTCTTAAGATTTTTGCCGTCTATATTTACTTGCTTAGAGCTAAAGAAATAATTACACCAATCTGTATAAAGGAGTTTATTCAAACTGGCGCTAGTGCTCACAAACTATCTGTGCAGGAGATCATGGATTTATCGCTGCTTATCCAGATCATAAATGCGTATCAAGTGCAAAGCTGATCAAGGAGCAGCATTCCTGTTTCTGAAGGGTTTGTGAACACGGCTTCTGGTTTCACTGATGTCACATTCTGCTGTGGGAGGTGGGCGTTTGTCCTCTCCCTGCCTTAAATTTGAGTTGTAGAGTGTTTGTGGATTTTTCCTACGCTCACAGAGCACCTTTCACTGGTTTATTTGTCTGATAGAGAGTTTGTTTTTGAGGTGGGCACACTTTGACCTGTAAAACGTCCTGAATAAAACACCAGTTCATTTACTTGTGTGTGAGACTCTTCTGTTCCTTCTTTTCCCCCTTTTTAGTGGTGCTTGCTCAGACCTTTTTTTTTTCCTCTATTGGGAATTTTTAACTTCTAACCCTAGGTATTAAACTTCAGCATGTAGTTTGTCCTAAATGTTTGGGCTGCAGATGTGAATAATAACTTTGCTTACTTTCCTAAGATATCAAACTTCCCACAAACTTGAATTGAAAGTCACATCTATCTTTAAGCCATTAAGTCACTCCATAGCATCATGTTTATGAACCACAACCACATAGTAGCGATCTGGCATCATGTTGGCAACTTTTGCTTAGGCAAAAACTACTCAGGTTTTCTTCAAAATTTAAAAGTAGTGATGTGCATTTGCTTTTCTGTTATGTATTTTTTTTATTTTAAATGTGAATTCAACTGTTTATGTGTAAGAATATGTCAACTAGGGGGCATAGTTCTTGATATATGTAATAATATTGTTATATGTAATTCTGAAAAAAATCCCTATAAAAACATTTTAAATGAAATACACATATCAAAATAATCAACTTAAAAAATGTTTAACGCTATCACTATGAAAACATTAAATGTATAACATAAACACGTATATACTGTATATAAAAAATACAATATTTTATTAAAAATACATATTCACTTTTTTTAGTGAAGAACATACTGTTCTCAAAATGTATGTAATTATGAAAATCGTCATGGTTATTTTTGACTTGAATTATTTTTGTCTTAACCACTGGGGGCCTCGGAATCAACCACTGCTGTAATGTATGTGTTTCTCTTAAAGTAGGGCTGCTGTAAGAACAAGTTAAGGAACTTAGCATAAATTACTGGGATCCAAATTAAGAACCTGTTACCACTGGTCCCACGGTCGATGAAGTGATCTGTTTGTCCCTTTGAACACAAACGTGAATGCGAATCCTTTTTAAGCAGTTCATTAACAGCTCTGCTCTATAAATAGTACACCATAGTTTGAACATGTTTTTCAATCCCACGCGTTCGTGACATGGTCAAATTCATTTTTAACACTTCTATAAATCAGTGACTTAGTAAAATGATTGAAAAAATGAAATCTGGGAATTCATTTGACTTTTTAATTATTCAAATGTTGTCCTGGGAAAGTAGAGCTGTTCTGGGTCTTATCGAGTATAAACCCCACAAGAGTAGAAAGATGACCGCTGCCATTACAGCAGATATGGACACGCTTATCAACGCCATGTTTCGGACAGTCCTGCTGGGATACATGTTTTCTGTGCTAGTGATGTTAGAAAACAGGCCCACAGGGTTTTCCCACTGAATCAGACCTTTACTAAAGTCTAAACTCAGTTCATTGGGAGATAACACCTTTACCCCTTTATACATTCTCTTCACTCTTCGTTTGTCGGTGTCCAGTACGTCACAGCGGTATGTCCCAGAATCCTCTACTCTGAGAGGGTCTAGCACCACCTTGTCCAGGCTGAGGGCTTCATAGCGGGTGAATAATGAGTCATCAGAGGTGATGACTCCACCGGCGAAGCGCCAAGACACCACAAAGGCAAAGCGGCCCATGGCTTCCATCACTTCCTCTAAGCAGTCAAGCACCAGACGCTGACCGACAGTTGCTGTTTGGGTCTTCAGTCCACACTGCCAGGTGTCTAGGCAGCGGATGGTCCTCAGCTTGCAGGAAGGGCTGGAGATGTTTCCGGTCCCCCTGATAGGGCAGAGCTCTTGTGTACGGAGGCCAAGCCCACAGGTGGCACTGCAGGGAAAGCTGCGTTTGATGACCCAGGTGTTGATCTTCTCCAGTTCTTCCAGGTCGGCTTTGGTTAAATTGCTACACCAGCTGGGGGAGTGCAGGAGTGTGCAGTACAGCAACACCAGCCAAAGTGCTGAGCCAGCCATTGTAACTTGAGACATAGAAGAGGAGCAGAAGATGTTCAGAATGAGAATCTATACGACCATAGGTTTATTAAAGGATTAGTTCACTTCAAAATGAAAATCCTGTCATCATTTACTCACCCTCAAGTTGTTTCAAACCTGTATGAATTTCTTTCTTCTGCTGAACACAAAGGAAGATCATTTTGAAGAATATCGGTAACCAAACAGTTGATGTACCCCATTGACTTCCATAGTATTTTTTTTCTTACTATGGAAGTCAATGGGGTCCATAAACTGTCTGGTTACCGTTATCAAAATATCTTCCTTTGTGTTCAGCAGAAAGAAATTCATACAGGTTTGAAACAACTTGAGGGTGAGTAAATGATGACAGAATTTTCATTTGAAGTGAACTATTCCTTTAATAAATTAATTTTAATAGTTTATATAATTATTTTTATACACATATAATTAGCTCACATGAATTAAGTCAACACCTTATTTAATTGAAAAAAAAAGTATGTATATTTATTTATTATTCATTTTTAAATACACATATCCTTTGCACGCCTAAATTAAATGATTAAGTTAACTGTCCAAATTAATTAATTTGTTTATTTATTATATATTGTTTTTTTATTTAATTAATTATTCTTTTTTCTTTTTTTTTAGCACTGAATTTTAAGCCTAAACTAAACCCTTTTCAATGGGGAATCACCTTTATCAGTTCCAAACTGGTATTTTACACTTATTATGATGGGGGTGTCAGTTATCGTTTAAAACAAAAGTAGGTTTGTCTTACCATCGTTGGTGTGTTCAAAAGATATGATAAAATATATATATATAAAAAAAATATCTCAACCTCTAAGATTCTATTTTGCATTCTTTTTATAAAGTCATAACTCATCAGTTAATGTTCATCAGTTGCGTCTTTCTCGTGCGCTTATAACGGAGGAAAGAGCGTGCCTAAACGAGATTTAGGCTACAACTGTCGACTAAAACATCTATTTATTTGTTTTCGTTTAAAATAATGTTTTTTATTTGTATTTATTTATTTACAACGTTTGTATTCCATCTTACCACTTGCCACAAGATGGCGCTTGGTCTCACAGAACGTAATGCAGTGTGACGAGTGTGACTACCGGTAAATACGTTACGGGTGTGTAGTAAAATAAGTAAACTGTTGATTATATTATCTGGGTGACACTTATATTCTTTTATGTTACTGTGAAACAATTATTTTTAGTTATGTCAAAGCATAAAGTGGCAACGGCGACTATGTTGAGTTAGTGTGTGTGTGGACAGTAGGGTACTCACGCCAAGTAAAGCAGAACCAGCGGTTATTGACACCTCTCAAATGTCAGACAGCTATGAAATGCCTAGAGCGGAAAGACTCCTGCGGGTTAATAGTGATTCAAACCAGGCCAACGAGTCATTCTTACCCTTGACGTTTTGCCCATTAATTTGGTTGAGTCTGGTGGTTTGGTCGGGTGGCCGAGTTAGTGTGAGAGATAGAGAACTGTACTCTTGGTTTTAGTCTTTGTGATGGTGTAAACAGGATGTGGATAAGCTCTGATGGCTGTTTGTCATGCTGAGGAAGCATCACCTCAAGGGCACAGACTGTACAAACAAAGCCTTGGCAGTCTCTGTGCATCAGAACAAACAATCTATCATTTACTCACCCTCATGTCATTCCAAAGTGTATGACTTTCTTTCTTCTGCAAAACACAAAAGAAAATAGGACATTTTGAAGAATCTTGGTAAACGAACAGTTTTGGTGACCATTTACTTCCATTTTAGCCTATATAGAAAAGCAACTGAGATATTTCTGAAAATACTTATTTTACAGCTGTGAAATGACATGAGGGTGAGTAAATGATGACAGAATTTCCATTTTTGCGTGAACTATCCCTTTAAACTGCAGGGATGCCACATTCCATGTAGAATAGACAGTGAAACATGTTTTATTGCATTCTCTTGGACATTAAAAATTTATTTGCCAAATTGTTGGACACGGGTTCCAACCATAGACAGTAAAAGAAGGTTCCAACACCAATGATAAAAGCTGCAGTCCGCAGTTTTACCTCTTTGTCGCCATCTCTGTTCGAAATCTGCAATTGCAGTTATTCGCGGAATTATCAACTTTACGTGAGTTGTGCTTCGACACGGCACAGCGCGGATGAATCCAATGTTTAAGGAGAGTGTGCGGCTGGGCTGTCAGTCACCGCGCCGGTGTGGATACTGTCATTCAGAATCACAGATTATTATTTTTGGAAGTATGACCAACTTAATAATATTCACCGGAAAATGTCATCTGAACAAGTAAGTAACATCCACTTTTGTTCTGGTTCTGACATTGCAGTAAATCGCGCTGATTAAATCTAACAATCGCTTATCATATCACGTACAACCGTGCAAATTATACTTTGTTCTCAAATTGTTAATGTTCAACATCAGCATTGCGTGACTACATTTAATGCCCTTCCAATATTTATCCTTGTTTTCGCATGGGCCCGGTTGCAGTCTCTTTTTTTCTGTAGCCACTCCGAAGTCTGAGTGAATCTGCAGTTGTCACTGGCGATAGTCGTTTGAACCTTTCTGGATCCGCCATCAAATTGATAAGTTTAATTATATCAAGCGCTGTGAGAAAAGGCTATAAATCTCCACCTCCAACATCCTCACACGCAATGTAGCTTATAGAGGGTATGCGCATGACGTCACCGTCGGCCGGAGTGAATGCGGTCACGCCCACAAGTGGCAAAAAGACTGAGCGGCAGCATTTGTTTTCAGCGTGAATGCCGTGAAAATCACACAAAACACATCTAAAACGGGAAAGAGCTTTGCGATTGACTGTACAACTAGATTTGACCAGAAATCTGAGGTACTGTATATTTTTACAGACTGCAAAAAGCTACAGAACAGACTATATTCTGCATAATTGGATGTTTTTTAATAAACACTGACAAAAAACTATACAAGTTTTAGGGCTGGACGATATGATGATATACAGTATAACATTAATGTAAGTGATCACTCGGATTTAGACCTATCTATATTGTATTTATATAAAACGTTTACAGGCAAATTTTCTTCATTTATTTCCCCGGCGTTGAAATCAGGCACATATAAATGTCAGGAAACACGATTCCTGGCTGCATGTCAATATCCATGGATCACTGGATCTTTGATAAGTTGTAAGGAACACTATATCGAGTCCAACTTTTAGTTTAAACTGATAATAGTTTGTTTTACTCGCGTTAACGAAGTTTCCCCTATTAACTCCAGTCACGCAGCAGCTCTTCTGCCACTCAGTCCCGCTGAGGGGGGCGTGTTCCGGCGGGGAAGTGACGTTAATGCATTCCCTCTATACTAGCCAAGGGGGTAATCCATCGACCGGAAGTTGAAGCCGGACGGGTGCCGCCATGTTGTAGCAGAACTTCACTTGCGTTAGCATTTCCATTGACTCCCATTCATTTTTGCGTCACTTTGACAGCGAATAACTTTACATCTGAGGCGTTTAAAGACTCCATTTGTCCATTATTTATTTCTAAAGAAACACGACAATGTATAAAGGGCTCCATTACCTTCTATGTTACACTATGGCCCCGTAGAAACAGATTTAGTAAAAATAGGCTAACGATTGCATCATAACCACTCGACTCTCTGTCGCGCTGTACAGAAGTTACCGTACAGACAGCAGGAGAAGCTCGCAGGCAATCGGGGGGACGTCCCGTCAAGGGAGAAGCCCATAGATAATGAGTCCATAAAAGCAACGGAATTCTTACTCCTGCTCACTCACGACAAAGAACTCTTTGCTCAAGTTCCCCGTCTCTGCAAGATTAACGTTGGCAGTTTTCACGCACAGCTACTAGAAGATTAACGTCTGTCAGACAGGTTGCTCACGTCATCAAGCTTAGTTTGAGTCGGTCTGAGTCTGCGCGTCAGGAACGGAAGTTCTCAAAAATCGCTAAAAGTGGGCTTCAACTGTCTCAACTGAGTTCCAATGAGATCGCTCTGTCCATTTCTTTTACTGTCTATGATACTAGCCGCGACTCCTTCTTTATGTGTACAGATGTGACGTAATGACGCAAAGACATGCTCGAATTTCCCGCGGAAATCCACCAGTACCACTGGAATTAAAAACATTATTACAAGCTTACCGTTTTGAATCGAGCTAAGGCAAGCAGATAGTTTTGAACACTGGCTGGTTATGTATTTGCTCAAAAAATTATTTTGGATAATTTTTAACCCAAAAAAGCTAAGGACTGCAGCTTTAAATTAATCAGATATTAGTGTTCATGTCCACATTTAAAAATGTATTAATAAATTTGCATTTCATTTTTGTTTATAGCAGTGCTTTGAGCTGCGTCCGAAATTGCATGCTGTCTGGTAGCCATACTTCTTTTGAATAAGTGCTTCACAACTGTCAAAATAGCACATTCTAGATACTATGATGTGTGTAGTATGAACGTAATATTGACATACTACATTTGTCATGTTTTCATTGTCATGTGACCTATAGTTCCATCATCAGTTGCATCGCTACACAGCCATTCACAACTCCTCTTCCAACTCCCTCTGACCCTATGGGGTAGTAAAGTGTTAATTGGATGCACACTTTAGAATCTAGATCATCCGGGTACTTTTTGCCTATTTTATGAATATTGTGAATATTGTGACACTCTTTTCAACTACTGTTTTTTGCTTAGGCTATAAGTATGCATATTTGAAGGCAGCCTTGCAATCGACATGAAATGGAAGTTGCGATAGTCTTTTCTTGCGTATTGTGACATATATCAGAGGGACATGGCTTCTTGAATAAGAAAAAAATGTAGGGCGGGACTTGATTTTGTCTTTTGGGAATTAATTGGATGGTTGAATCGTGTGGTTTGCTACTGCTGTGATCTCATGTGAGTGACAGGTTGACCCACCCTCATGCCAGTAAACCGCAGTAAACACATCATCAGAGAAAATCTGTAAGAGGGAGGGGAAGTTGCTTTGATTAAATGTGACCTGATCCAGCAAAATG